TTCTCAAAACAAAAATCAAAAAAGAATGACCCTCATAGACTCATATATTTAAATGATTAGTCACCCTGGAGTGGCTCTATTTGAAAGAATTAGAAGGATTAGGAGGTGTGACCTTGTTAAAGGAAAAATTGGCCCTCGTCAAGCTGGGACACTCCCTCTTTCTCTCCCTCCCTCTCTCCCTTTCTTCCTCTGCTTGTGGATCAGGCTGTAGCTCTCAGGTGCTTCTCCAGGACCACACCTTCCTACCACCATGCTCTCTACCATGATGGACTTAGCCTCTGAACAGTAAGCAAGGCCACAATTAAGTGCTTTCTTTTATAAGAGTTGTGTTGATCATGGTTTCTCTTCACAGCAATAGAATTGTGAGGGCTTCATACTTCTCTGTGCTTCAAAACTGAGATGGCAGGGGAAATAAATGCTTGCAGTAAAGTATTAGATGTGAACATTTTAAAAATTACATTTATATTTATTTTGTATTCATGGGGATGAGTGGGCCATGTGGACCTATCTATCACAGCACACCTGTTGAGATCAAAAGACAGTTTACAGGAATTGGTCCTGGGGTTCAAACTCATTACCAGGCTTAGGGGCAAGCACCTTTACTTACTGGGCCATTTCCCCATCCCAGGAATAAATTTTTAAGGGCAGCAATACTTGTCTAACTGGCTCCCTAAGAGATGACAGGATGCTTAGGAGTGATAAAAAATAAGAACAGCAGAAGAGGTAGGGTTAGTCCAGAATATAAGGGAATTAAAAGCTAAGATGCCTGGGTCTGAATGTCAGTTACCCTGCTTGGGAAAAGTCAATTTCCATTTTCTAGACAGCAGCCTCCTTTCCTAGGGCCTGCAAATATAATTTTCTATAATCCTCTTCCCTGTGGTACTAGTTGTTAAAACTTGACCACACACTGGAAATAAAATGAGAATTTTAAATACTATTGATGCCTGGATTCCAAAACCAAATACTCAGAATTACCTGGTCTAGAATCAATAGCTGGGACCAAGTGTTCAAATGCAAGAATCTGTGGGGGATATGACACGTTCCAGCTAAGAGCAGCCACCAAGAGGTTTATGGACATCTTTGTGTTAATTTTCTTATTGCTGTGACAAAAATAACAGTAAGAACTGAAGATAAGAAACATTTTCACTCACAATTTCAGAGATTTCAGTCCATCAAAGCAAGGAAGGCACAGTAGCAGGCATACACAGCTTTGTCTACGGTAATGGGAGTATGAGGTGAAGCTACCAGATCAGGGAGCAGAGAAGACAGACCAGCACCGGGAGAGAGTGTAATCTTCAAAGGCTGCCTCTAGCGCCCTACTTCACTAGTCATGTTCAACCTCCAAATGGCTCCACAGCCTTCACAGTGCCACTAGCCAGAGAACAAATGCTCAAAACACTCCTGAAAGGGGCAATTCAGAGTCAAATCACAACTTAGTATGTAACATTATATGTCAGTGACTATGCTATGTCCCTTGCATATATAATCTCACTTAATCATTACAAGTCTATAAGTGTCCTTATTCCATTTACAGGTTCAAAACAGAAGAGAACCAATTACTTGCAAGATCAAATACTAATGTACTGAATCTGGTAAACAATTCAAAACAGCAAACTGACTACAAAGGCTAGAGAACACTATGAAATGAGTGTATTAAGTCAGATTAACTACCAAGAAGTTCTTTCCACGCCCCTCTCTGTCCATGACTGAGAATCAACCTAAGACCTCAGGCAGGGCAGGCGAGAGCTCTACTGCTAGATTACAATCCTATCCCAAGAGAAAACACCTACTCAGCCACACTTGCCCTATGGGAATTTCAGGGTCATATCTTAAGATTTAAAAAAAAATGGAAATCTTTTCTTTGTATATAATCTCTTGATAGTTCAGTGTCAAGGTGGTTAAAACAATATCATGTGGTTCAAACCAAATAAGTCTAAAAGTTTGCTTCTCTGATCCATAAGACACTGGAAATTTGGAAGGAAGAGCTCTGAACTTCAGGTACATAATTAGGGAGTCCTTAGGCAGAAATGATAGTAACACACCAAGAATAGTGTGTGCTGGGATAATAACCAGTGAGGTGGGTGGTGCAGAGATCCCAGGCACAAACAACAAAAGCATTTAGGAGGCTGAGGAAGATAAAAAGTATGGGGCCATCCTGAGTTACATGGTGAGAGGCTAAGAAAGGCAGAAATAATACTTGACATGATTAGTTTAAAACCATCTGAAAAGCCAGGCAGTGGTGGGGTACACCTTTAACCCCAGCACTCTTGAGGCAGAGGCAGAACTTTTATGAGTTCAAAGCCACCATGGTCTGCAGAGCAAGTTTCAGAACAGTCAAGGCTACACAGTGAAATCCTGCCTAGAAAAAAAACAAAAAAACAAACAACAACAAGAAAAAACCAGAAAATGTAAAAATGTATTAACAACTAAAGACTTAGCAGATTTCTAGATGTATTAGAAATGAATAAAATAGACATGTCAAGCTGTTTGGTTACATTTAAAATCCAAGTATTTGAAATTTTATACACCCAAAATATGATGCCAACTTTAAATTTGTGAATGCTTATTTCTATGATTGAAAAGTAGATTTTGTTTTTGTTTTTCAAGACAGGGTTTCTCTGTGTAGCTTTGACAGTCCTGGAACTCACTCTGACCAGGCTAAGCTCGAACTCACAGAGATCTGCCTGCCTCTGCCTTAAGTGCTAGGGTTAAAGGCACGCACCACCACTGCCCCGTGGGAAAAGTAGATTTAAGTCTACATTTATTTTTTTCCTTTGTTTTTATTTACTCCTTGCCAGCTCAGCACCTCATAAGCCTGCATATCTGCAAAACTTACAGCAGAGTTTTGCAACTAGCAAAACAAGACCTTTTTAAAAAATATTGTATGTGCATGGTGCCTCCACAAACATGTGGAGGTAAAAGGTCAGCCTGTTCTCTCTCCATCATGTGGGTTCTGGAGACTGAACTCAGTCATCAGGCTTGGCAGCAAGCGCCTTTACCAGTAGTACCATCTTGCTAGCCCCTTAAAAAAATTTTAATTGAAGTCAAATTTCTTATTTTTAGGACACCCATATTTTAGAATCAAGTGGCTATTCTTTGACATCCACACTAGTATACTGAGTATGGCTTTTTTTTTTTTTAAATCACTGTGTTCCTACAACACAGATGTCTTCAGTATATCAGGAAGCATATAAATCACTTGTATAAAACTAAAATATCGCACATTTAAATTTCTTATATTTTAAAAGTGGCCCCTTTCCCAAGAAGGTTTTTCTTTTCTACACGTAACTAACTCTTAAAAATGAAAAACTGCTTTTTACAGTTTTCAGTTTAAGGGAATTTTATTTAATAGCATTAATTTCATGGCAAAGACCTCAGGACGCTAGAATTGCATTAAAACTGTCAAAGCCAAACTATCCTATTATCAGACTTAAATGTTTTTTGTTTGTTTGTTTGTTTGTTTTTCGAGACAGGGTTTCTCTGTGGTTTTGGAGCCTGTCCTGGAACTAGCTCTTGTAGACCAGGCTGGTCTCGAACTCACAAAGATCCGCCTGCCTCTGCCTCCCAAGTGCTGGGATTAAAGGCGTGCGCCACCACCGCCCGGCCAGACTTAAATGTTAAGGAGAGTACAATTCTCTGAGAATTCTATTTAAGGACTAGGTCTTTTTTTCTTTCTTTCTTTCTCTTTGTAACCCTACTGTCCTGGAACTTGCTCTGAAGACCAAGTTGACCTCGAACTCACAGAGAGATGCCTGCCACCATCGCTGGGCAGGACTAGGTCTTAAAACACCAAGATATGTCAACTTAAGTTTGGGTCTTTGAAAATCCAGTTCTTGGGTATTCCAAGGCATGATTTTAAAACACACGTGCTTTTACTTTTGGTCAACCCTTGTACCAAAAGTGCACGCTCAAACACTAAGATAGGGCTTTCTGTTGTTCACATACCTTCATTTCTGTAATGCTAAAATGTCGAAAACAGTGACTGTGTGGTAACAGGCCTTTGATCCCAGCATTCCCAGCATTCGGGAGGCAGAAGCAACTCTGAGTTCGAGGTCAGCCTGGTCTAGACAACGAATTCTAAAACAGCCAAGGCTGTTACACAAACAGTAGAACATAGCCATAACCCATCCTTTAGCCTGTCACCTTTGTAATGCCTCGTTTTCCTTAATAACCCTAAGTAAGACAGAAAACACTGCACATCTAGAAATCCCTGGCCTCTGCTTTCCTTCCCGGGCCGACCAAGGAGAGGTAATCCGCAGCCCATCTTTAACATTTTTGAAATATAAAGAAAAAAATAATTAAAAACGAGTCTGCAATTTCACATCCTCCAAAGGCCCGCTCTCTACAAACACTTCTCTAGCAGGCCTAGCTACCGAGTCTAGCTCGGGGCCAGCAGGGCGAACACTGAGGAGAAGCTGCCTCTAGCCCAAAGGCAACCCTTTCCTTCGACCCTTTCTCGTTCCTCCGCAGATGGAGGACCAACAAACAGAACGCGCCTTCCGGGCGGGCACACGTCCCTCTCCTCAGCCCGCAGGCCCGCCCGAGGCCAGGCCACGAGGCCACGCGGAGCTCTCGGGACACAAGGCCCGAGCGGGTCAAGGAGAGAGGAAAGGAAGCGGCTCCTCAGGGCAAGCATGAGGCTCGGCCTCCCGAACAAAGCGGCGGCCCGGGGAGACGCGACGGCCCCCGCGACGCACACTGCCGGGGCTCCCGGCGCTACGCAAAAGCCCCGCAGCGCACCGGCCCGCTGCCCTTACGCCACTGGCTTGGCCCCAGAGCCTTCGCGAATATGGCTTTGCGCACTGCGGCGGGGCTGCGCCGCAACCTAGCTTGCCCGGTGGCTCCTCCCCGCCGCCCTGCGCGGATTGGTGGCGGACGGAAGCCCGGCTGCTGATTGGACAGCGGAGGAGCCACTCGGGGAGGCTCCGGTGGGGCGGCCGCCCCGGAGTGATAAGTTGGGCTTCAGACACGCCTCGGCGCCAGCAGCGAGCCGGAGCTCTATGGAGGCGGCGGCGGGTACCAGGTGGCGGCTGCAGCGGCGACTCCTCTGAGCTGAGCGTTTCAGGCCATCCTCGACTCCTTCCTCCCCCTTCCCTCCCCCTTTTTTGTTTTCCGTTCCCCTTCCCCCTCCCTTCCCCGTCCCCGACGACCGGATCCAGAGGAGGCAGCTGCGGTGGCAGCTGCTGAGTTCTCGGTGAAGGTGAGTGGAGCCGCCACCGCCGAGCGGAGCCCTCTAAAATGGCCGCCGCCCCTGGCCGCTTCTTGTCGAGTGTTACAAAATGGCGGCCGCAGGCGGAGCCGGGCGGGGCTGCTCTCGTCTACCTCTGGGCCACCTAGAAATCCCTGGCCTCTGCTTCCCTTCCCGGGCCGGCCCGGGAGACGCGGTCTGCAGTCTGGGCTGAGTGGCGGCGCGGCGCGAGGACGGCGTGCGAGCGTGGCGGGCCTCGCGCCTCGGCGGGAGGGACGCGGCCCGCGGCGGGGCCCGGCCGTTGGCGCGGGACCAGCGAGGCGGACGAGTCCGGAGCCCGGCCTCCCGGTGGGGAGGAGGTGTGTGGGCCCTGTGGCCGGCCGGCCGCCGCGCTGTCACCGGGGGACTCGGAGCGGAGGCGGCGGGCGGGCGAGCGGGCGGGAGGCCGCCTTCCTGCGGGAGAACAAAGGGCGGCCCGGAGGGGGCGCCTCCCGCCCGGCCCGGGCCCTCGCCCTCGCCCGTCGGAAGCCCGGCCACACTGGCCTTAGGGGAGGAACCCGCTGCTCTTTTGTTCGCGCGGAGTGGGGCGGAGGTTCCCGCTGCCGTGTTGTGGCCCCGCTCTTCCGGCGGCTTTCCACATGCGCCCTGTGGGAAGGGGTGAAAGTACGGGCGGAGGACAGAGCCGTCCCGGCGGCGGGGAGTGAGACCTTGGCCGGCCTGTCAGTGCCCGGGCCGCGCACAGCAGTGCGGCAGACCTCGGGCCACAGCCGGTGTTTAAAACATTTCTGTTAGATTTTAAAGGCCACGGAATATGGCTGCGTTCTAGGCAGTGTCCAGATGTTCTTCCCTCCCCCCCTTACACACACACACACACAAAGGCTGTTCCTGGCATCCTTGACCACTAAGGGGATCCACGTAGCTAAACAAGATTTTACTGTGTATTTGTGGTTTTGACTTTGTTCTATTTTAGTCTTCTAAGGGCTGCAGTGCAGTGAAAGTTAATCAGCTGCAGTGAGAGCCGAAATAGATTAGAGCGAGGGTTTATGCATGTGTTTGTTGGCAGTACCTAATTTTGGCATTCTCTCTCGTTCCAGGCTTTTCGTTTGTACCATCCCCTCCCCTCCCCACCCCATCCATTAATATTATTCTTTTGAAGATTCTTCGTTGTCAAGCCGCCAAAGTGGAGAGTGCGATCGCAGAAGGGGGTGCTTCTCGTTTCAGGTATAGTTTTGGGTAGGGCGGTAGATACATAGGAGGCCTTTTGAAAATGAAGCCGCTACTAACTAAATCGCACTTGTGTGCTGTGGCTCTACAGTATAGGGTATACTGGGGGTGCTGCAAGTGTGTCTGCGCCTCGAGGGGGGCATCAGACCCCCTGGGACTGGAGTTACAGACAGTTGGGAGCTGCCATGTGGGTGTTAGCCCTTGTCCTCGGGAAGAACAGCCAGCTCTCAAACCGCTGAGCCATCTCTAGCCTCTGGTTCATTTTCTTCTAGGCCAAAGTTCAGTCTTGGTTGTGGTGCAATTTCTAAAATATAAATAGGTTCCCTTTTGAGTGAGATGTACTTGGTAAAGTAAACATTTGTTTTGAATAGTGCTTCTTCGGGCGGAGGAGGAAGTAGGGGTGCACCTCAGCACTATCCCAAGACTGCTGGCAACAGGTATGGTAACTGGATTTTATTAATTAAAGACTTCTCAATGCCTAACAGGATAACCCTTGGGAAATCACCTGTAGTCCTAGTGTGAATTCATAATTTTAAACTGTTTTCATCCTCTTGGTTCATATTTGCTGACTCAAATGATTGTCCCTACTCTTTAATATTTGATGTGGTCTGTGTGGAGGAACATGCCTGTTAAGCATGTTGGTGTTAAGTCTCAAGGTTGGGTTCCTGGATCGGTAGGGTTTTTTGACATGACCCGGGAATGTATTGGCAGAAATTGGGAATGGGCCTCCCAGTCATTTTAAGCCTTCCATAAGATTCTGATGCTGTTTAAGAAAGATTTCCGGGATTGCTTTGTTGTATGGGAAGAATATAAAGCCTTAAGGTTTGTTTCGATTTATTTTTACTTAGCAAAGTGGTGGGACATTTGTTAAATGAGTGAATACTGTTTTAGGTTTTCTTAATTGTAAGCTACTTTGTTGATGTTTTATTAAACCAGCGAGTTCCTGGGGAAAACCCCAGGGCAAAACGCTCAGAAATGGATTCCTGCACGAAGCACTAGACGAGATGACAACTCCGCAGCAAACAACTCCGCAAATGAAAAAGAACGACATGATGCAATCTTCAGGAAAGTAAGAGGGTAAGTGTCTCGCCGTTCTGAGGGAGTAGAGATTAGCCCTGCTGTTCTAGTATGTATGCTGCACAATTCACGGACATGATTCAACATTTTAGTGATTCTTTTGCCAACAATATTCTAAAAAACTTTTGATGAGGAGTCCATTGCCCATAGGTATCTGGCTACAGGGGTTGTTTATTACCCATGAGCTTATGCTAACTTTTCCATGTTGGTCTGGTATGTAACATCAGTGATGTGAGTGATATAACCATCTTAGCCTATGGTCAATTTCAGATAATGAGAACCTTGTGCTCTGAGTTTTGAGAAAGGTATCTTGTGAAACCGCAGAAAAGCCCAGATAATATGATTCAGATGTCATAGTCTGTATCTGTGAGAAGTTTTATTTCGCCATCTCTTTGATTAGATGAAAAATGAACACTTCTGTAATACCATGCACAAGTTTACATAAGCTCAAGCTTAGACAAGAAACTACTGGGAGACAGGGGGGAAATATTTTATTTTATTTTATTTTTTCCATGGAGTGATATATCAGCCACACTCCAAGATAAGGCCCTGTACTCAGGAACAAATGACAACACAAATTTATGTTTTTAGTGATTTTTTTTTCTTAGAGAAAGAACATGAAATGGGGGAGGAGCGGAGCTGGAGGTCAGGAAAGAATATAATAAAAATATAATGTATGGCATTATCAAAAAATAAATAGGAAAGAAAGAGGAACATTTTTCCCTGTTTAGGGAATTAGTAAAGGGAAAGTCAAAATTTAAACGCTATTTTTCAGCTTAGAAAATAATTGTTAACCCATACTTGAAATGTGTTTTTCCGCAGCATACTAAATAAGCTTACTCCTGAGAAGTTTGACAAGCTATGCCTTGAGCTCCTCAATGTGGGTGTAGAGTCTAAACTCATCCTTAAAGGGGTCATACTGCTGGTAAGTTTAAATGTTAGTTCAAGAGGGGGGCAGAAAATTTACAGACATAAGTTTCTTATGTTTAATGACTGCATTAATCATGAGATAGGTCCTAGATATGGATGTGTGTGTTTGAATAATGATAATAAAAACAGGACTACTTTGAATGACATTAGGATTCAAAAAGTGAACCTTGAATCCTCATTTGCCTTGGTTTATCAAGTTGTCTGAAAACAGCTGCTGAGTTCTTTCCTTTGTGAAAGTGGTTTTGGGGTTTATGATGATTCATAGGATTCTGGCATCTTGTTGTACATGACTATCAACCATAGAGTTGTATCTTCAACGATGTCTTTGATTTATAGTTTTCTAGATGGGGAGGTGTATGCAACATGAGATTTATTAGATTGTACCACAGATACTAATTTTAAAACGTTTATTTTTTTTTTTTTTGAGGTGTGTCTAAATTGAGTGTAGCTTGTGAGGGTTAAGGCTGTTTTTAAAGAGGGCTCCTTCAGCCTCTTATTCATCATGGTTTGATTTTTAATGGCTTCTGTAGATTGTGGACAAAGCCCTAGAAGAGCCAAAGTATAGCTCGCTGTATGCTCAGCTATGTCTGCGATTGGCAGAAGATGCACCAAACTTTGATGGCCCAGCAGCAGAGGGTCAACCAGGACAGAAGCAAAGCACAGTGAGTGACAGTTTTTGTTTGCTTTGTTTTAAAATTAGTTTGGAAATTTTATTTTTTAATTAGCAAAGTTTATAATGTCTTTTGTTTGCAAATAGACATTCAGACGCCTCTTGATTTCCAAATTGCAAGATGAATTTGAAAACCGAACCAGAAATGTTGATGGTAAGCATTTAAATTTGCTTTTAACTAGTACCGGGTGTTTTTATTACATTTATGCCTTCTGTGGCCTAAGTGGTCAGAACACTTGCAAGAATGGTTCTAAGTGTTCTTTATTCTGTTTTGCCTCCCCTCCTCAGTCTATGATAAGCGTGAAAATCCCCTCCTCCCTGAGGAGGAGGAACAAAGAGCTATTGCTAAGATCAAGATGTTGGGGAACATCAAATTCATTGGAGAACTTGGCAAGCTTGATCTTATTCACGAATCTATCCTTCATAAGTGCATCAAAACAGTGAGTATGGAGTAGCTTAGGGTGAGGTAGTCAATAAGAATGTCCTTATTTGGGGAAAGTTAGTCAATTGCTGCATATCTGAAAAGGTGGCTGGCTACTGACAATAGTTTGGTAACCAGAGAAACTCAGAATTTCAAAGTGCTTTTTATTTATTTATTATGTATACAACATTCTGCTTCCCACACACCAGAAGATGGCGCCAGATCTCATAGATGATTGTGAGCCATCATGTGGTTGCTGGGAATTGAACTCAGGACCTCTGGAAGAGCAGTCAGTGCTCTTAACCTCTGAGCCATCTCTCCAGCCCTCAAAGTGCTTTTTAAAGTAGAGGTAGATTGGATTGCTTTGCCTGTGTTGAAATTCATAGAGGGATTTCTTCAACACAGACAAGTAGGAAAGCATTGTCTTACATGCTCTAGGAATTGGGAGTCAGTCCAAACCTAAGGAAGGAAATACTACATAAACCAGATAACTAAAATTTTAAACATGTTCTTTTGGTAGCTTTTGGAAAAGAAAAAGAGAGTCCAACTCAAAGATATGGGAGAGGATTTGGAGTGCCTCTGTCAGATAATGAGGACAGTGGGACCTCGATTAGACCACGAACGAGCCAAGGTATGCTTTTACTGAGAACAGTTAAAGGTGGTGTGTCTTGTGAGTTGGGGTTTGCTCTAGTTAGTCTGCCTTTACCCTATGGCACAATAATTCAAAATGCCTTAGTGTACTTAGTTCTAATTGTGTTTTTTTTGTTTTATTTTTTTATCAGTCCTTAATGGATCAGTACTTTGCCAGAATGTGTTCCTTAATGTTAAGTAAGGAATTGCCAGCAAGGATTCGTTTCCTACTGCAGGTAAGATTTTTTTTTTTCAACAGTGTCCAATAAACTTGAGGTTTTTTCCCTTTGGAATAGTAATTAAAATTTAAATTTTTTAATTAAAATTTAAGTTTTTTAAAATTACAGGATACCGTAGAGTTGCGAGAACATCATTGGGTTCCTCGCAAGGCTTTTCTTGACAATGGACCAAAGACGATCAATCAAATCCGTCAAGATGCAGTAAAAGTAAGAGATTTTCAATTTCTTTTTCTTCTTTTCCATAGTAGTGTAGTCCTTTCCTTAACTCTTAAAATCTAGAATTAGTGTCCTTCAGGCCATTTTTGGAGAGAAGTTCTAGAACTGTAAATAAGCAATCCAGGGTCTATGGGCAGCAGTACTTACCCACTTTTCTTCTCAAAGGATCTAGGAGTGTTTATTCCTGCTCCTATGGCTCAAGGGAGGAATGACTTCTTCCTGGAGGGACCGTTCATGCCGCCAAGGATGAAAATGGATAGGGACCCACTTGGGGGACTCGCTGATATGTTTGGACAAATGCCAGGTAATTTTAAACAAAGCAGTGTTTTGATTAAACTAAAGAAAGGTTAATGCTTTAATGAAGTTCTAAGAATTGTCTGTATTTTAAGGTAGTGGAATTGGTACTGGTCCAGGAGTTATCCAGGATAGATTTTCACCCACGATGGGACGACATCGTTCAAATCAGCTCTTCAATGGCCATGGGGGACACATCATGCCTCCCACGCAATCGCAGTTTGGAGAGATGGGGGGCAAATTTATGAAAAGCCAGGTAAGACATTGAGAGTGTTTATAGTGTTTAGGGCTAACCTTAGGTTCAATACATTATGTAGTTTATTGTTTGTTTTTTAAATGATGCTGAGTTTTACCTTTAATGCTTTTTTTTATCCAAATTACCCCCTGACAATTTCAAATTGAGTAAAATATGTATCCTTAAAATTAGTAAAAATCACATCACTTTATTCAACAGATAGGTTAGATATTCTTCCTTGTTTCATCTTTTCTGGGCAAAGCAATGGCTTGGCTCATTCCCTTGGTACTCGATTACCATAATTTTTATCTAGACTTTCTCTCCCTTTCTGAAATAGGGGCTAAGCCAGCTCTACCATAACCAGAGTCAGGGACTCTTATCCCAGCTGCAAGGACAGTCGAAGGATATGCCACCTCGGTTTTCTAAGAAAGGACAGCTTAATGCAGATGAGGTACATTTGCCTACATTACTTCTATGCAGTAGATTGTCAGTGCAGGAATCTCTTGCCCGATGATTATAAAAAGACGCGAAAGAGGACTTGAAGCTGGATTCTTTTCCTTTTTCTCTCTTCTCTACTCTTTTCTCTATTTCCTTTTCTCTTTTCTCTACTTTTCTCTATTTCCCTCCCTTCCCACTTTCCTCTGCTTCTTTTTCTCTCTCTGGATGTCCAGCGTCCTATGAGCGAAGATTATGAGATATGAGGGCAAGTTTCTAAGTAATTTTTACTAGTTAGCATGAGAAATGGTTAAGATGTTGGTGGATTTCTCTGTAAGTAGAATAAAGAGTATCTATATTGCTGATATTGGGTGAATTATGTTACAAACTAAGGTTTGTAAACAGTATCTTTCTCTTTTCCTCCAGTATCTTATTCATTAAATCAGATTACTTTTCCCAGAAGTTAAATTTATCATGTGATATGAAGTAACTTTTTTGTTTTAGAGAATTGTCTCTGCCATAATTATTAGGTTTGTCTAGGATTCTATACATTTGACATTTGTTTATTAGCTCTGTTAACTTGGTTATGTGTTGATTTGTTTTTGATTTTAGATTAGTTTGAGGCCTGCTCAGTCGTTCCTAATGAATAAAAATCAGGTGCCAAAGCTTCAGCCCCAGATAACTATGATTCCTCCCAGTGCACAGCCACCACGCACTCAAACACCACCTCTGGGACAGGTATGGGCCCCAAAGTATCTGCCCTCTGAAGATGAGTGAGAATTCTGTTTGCTTCCCTCTGTTTCAGGTGGTACTGTTCTTTTTGGTTTCTTACATTTATTTTGATTAAACGTTTGTTGTGCTGCTTGCCTTTAGACACCACAACTTGGTCTCAAAACTAATCCACCACTTATCCAGGAAAAGCCTGCCAAGACTAGCAAAAAGCCACCACCATCAAAGGAAGAACTACTTAAACAGACTGTAAGTTTCAGATAGCCCCCTAAGTCGTCTCTTTTGCTTAAACATTTGAGGATAGGGAACACTGGTGGTAATTGGATTGTGTTCTTCTCAGGAAGCCATTGTGACTGAATATCTGAATAGTGGAAATGCAAATGAGGCCGTCAATGGCATGAGAGAAATGAGAGCCCCGAAACACTTTCTTCCTGAGATGTTAAGCAAAGTGATCATCCTGTCACTAGATAGAAGTGATGAAGATAAAGAAAAAGCGAGCTCTTTGATCAGTTTACTCAAACAGGAAGGAATAGCCACAAGTGACAACTTCATGCAGGTAGAACATTGTACTGATTGTGTGATAGCTCTTTCCAGTTGTGGTTGGAAGCTAATAACTGTTTTGAATATTCTTCCCAAGGCTTTCCTGAATGTATTGGAGCAGTGCCCCAAACTGGAGGTTGACATCCCCTTGGTGAAATCTTATTTGGCACAGTTTGCAGCTCGTGCTATAATTTCAGAGTTGGTGAGCATTTCAGAACTAGCTCAACCACTGGAGAGTGGCACCCACTTCCCTCTCTTCTTACTTTGTCTTCAACAATTAGCTAAATTACAAGATCGAGAATGGCTAACTGAACTTTTTCAACAAAGCAAGGTCAATATGCAGAAAATGCTGCCAGGTAAGAGCTGACTGACTTAATTAACAATAAGTGATTTTGTGTACTAGGAAAGTGTTTGTAGAATGGTCTAGATAGGTCACCCTGGTAAAATGAGAAATGTCTTTGCAGAAATTGATCAGAATAAAGATCGAATGTTGGAGATTCTGGAAGGAAAGGGATTGAGTTTCTTATTCCCGCTCCTTAAATTGGAGAAGGAGCTATTGAAGCAAATTAAGCTGGATCCATCCCCTCAAACTATATATAAATGGATTAAAGATAACATCTCTCCCAAACTTCATGTAGATAAAGGATTTGTGAACATCTTAATGACCAGGTAAGATAAATGGTTTTCACTTGTTAGAAAGTCTACAGGGCAGAGCCCCAAAAGCTGGTGTTGAACTAGACAATTTCTAACATGATCTCTGCTGTTCAGCTTCTTACAGTACATTTCTAGTGAAGTAAGCCCACCTAGTGATGAAACAGATTCTTCCTCTGCTCCTTCCAAAGAACAGTTAGAGCAGGAGAAACAACTGCTGCTCTCTTTCAAGCCAGTGATGCAGAAATTCCTTCATGATCATGTGGATCTACAGGTCAGTGCCCTGTATGCTCTGCAGGTGCACTGTTACAACAGCAGCTTCCCAAAAGGTGAGGTGACTGGTGTCCGTAGAGAATGAGGGGCAGTCTGAAATAGCACACTGGAATAATGGAATTAATTACATGCTTCTGGTTGGTTTTGTTTTAAGGCATGTTACTTCGATTTTTTGTTCATTTCTATGACATGGAAATTATTGAGGAGGAAGCTTTCTTGGCTTGGAAGGAAGACATAACTCAAGAGTTTCCAGGAAAAGGCAAGGCTTTGTTCCAGGTAAGCGCTTTGTTAAGTTTTAGTTTTGTTTTTGTTTTGTTTTGTTTTTGCTTATTGACTTGGCTTGGTTGTTTTTTATAGTATTTTAAATGGACCTCTTCCTAACTTCAATGCATCAAAAAGTATGTTAGTCTGCAAGATGTGGTCAAATAGGCAGTTAGCAAATGAGATGAAGATACAGGATGAAATCATGCTTAAAACCATAGTGCTGTGTAAATTGGTTATAGATAGGTAACAATTTTGGTGGCAAAGCTGCTTACTCACATGGTTAACAGAATAAAGGCATTTGGGTTTAAAACTAAAAATGAAAAAAGCATACTTTGTAGTTTGGTATTGTTATCCAGTAGAATGGAGCTCTGGAAATAGAACTTGACATGAAAGAACTCTAGATCCATAGTGTGCATAAAATTAGCTTTTTGAAGAATTTAAAAGTAGAATCTCATCCTAGTGCTAGCTAAAAAGGTCTTAACACAGTTCAAATAGTTCTACTAATAGTATAGTTCTAGCTAAGGCCTCAGCTTTGAGGAAGCCCTGGTTTACAGCTTCTAATCTAAGGTTTATAGACTACTTTGTAAGGAGTGTTTAAGACAAGCCTGGACACTCATTGTATGGGATCCTGTTCTCTGGTGGGCAACTAGAGAGATAGCTCAGCAACTTAGAATGCTCAAAACCGTTTATCTCCAGTTCCCAAAGGTTCAGTCCCCTTTTTGGCTGTTGGGCCCTGTGCATACATGGTACATAGTCATATATACCAGTCAGTCATCCATATATGCACAAATGTTTTAAAGGAAGGAATGGCTCAATAGGTAAAGCTTGTGAAGACCAGACTCCAGAATCAACTTACTCTCTGGGTGGACTTCTTGGTTGTATATTCTGAACAAAACTTAATTTTTTTTAAAGATTTATTTTGTAGGTATGTCTATAAAGGTGTCAGAATCCCTGGAATTGGAGCTTTAGACAGTTCTGAGTTGCTATGTGGGTGCTGGCTATTAAACCCAGATCCTCTGGAAGAGCAGTCAGTGCCTCTTTTAACCACTAGGGCATCTATCTCGCCAGCACCCTAAACTTAATGTTTTATATAATATACTAAGTTTTTTTTATTATGAATTTAATTTACAGGTAAATCAGTGGCTAACCTGGCTAGAAACTGCTGAAGAAGAAGAATCAGAGGAAGAAGCTGACTAAAGAACCAGCCAAAGCCTTAAATTGTGCAAAGCATACTATGATGTAACTGCATTTGACCTAACCACTGCGAAAATTCATTCCGCTGTAACGTTTTTCACAATATTTAAAGCAGAAGCACGTCAGTAAGGTTTCCTTCTGCATAAGGTTTTTGTAGTGTGATGTCTTAATCATAGTCTACCATCAAATACTTTAGGAGTATCCTTAATGTTTAGATAGAATATTAGCAGCATGCAATAATTACATCCTAAGTTCTCAAGCAGAGGCAGTCTATTGCAAAGATCTTCTTTGCTGCCAGTTACCATAGGCTGTTTTAAGTTAGAAAACTGAATAGCAACACTGAATACTGTAGAGATGCACTTTGCTCAGTAATACTTGAGTTGTTGCAATATTTGATTATCCATTTGGTTGTTACAGAAAAATTAACTGTAATTGATGGTTGTTGCCGTAATAGTATATTGCCTGTATTTCTACCTCTAGTAATGGGCTTTATGTGCTAGATTTTAATATCCTTGAGCCTGGGCAAGTGCACAAGTCTTTTTAAAAGAAACATGGTTTACTTGCACAAAACTGATCAGTTTTGAGAGATCTTTAATGCCCTTGAAGTGGTTTTTGTGGGTGTGAAACAAATGGTGAGAATTTGAATTGGTCCCTCTTATTATAGTATTGAAATTAAGTCTACTTAATTTATCAAGTCATGTTCATGCCCTGATTTTATATACTTGTATCTATCAATAAACATTGTGATACTTGATGTAGTTGTACATGACTTCAAATAGTACCTCCAAAGTTTGGAAAATTGTTCATTTTGTCTTGAGGTATGGACTTACCTCAGTTTAAGAACTTGGGAAATTTTTAACTTCATAGTCTTAACACCAGTGCTATTTAGTAGTGATTCACCCTGTAAGCAGCGTTAGTAAGTATCATACTTTAGAGTATTCAGTTTTTCACCCTGTTCCAGACTGACTGTTTCTGTCAGTCTTGTAATGCAAGCTGTCAACTTAATCTGGAGCTGCCTTTTCTGTTAAGAGACTTTGTCGACTCTGACTCTGCTTTCTAAGCACCTTAGGAATAAGCTTCCTCATCACACCATCCTCTTTGCTGAGGTACCTGCTTAGTCCTTAATCTCCATTTACTCTTCACAACAAAACAACCAGAGCAAGAAACTGAAAAACAAAACTGCCATGTGGTTTAGAACTCAGCAAATGCTAGGCTTTAAATTTATGATTTAAAATTTTAAATCATAAAATTGGCTCCTATTACTTTCCATTTTGTCTAGCCCTTGCAATATGTAGTTCCTTTACCTGGAACAGTGCTTTCCTTACCTCTCAACCTTCAGGTATTGGCTTAAATTTCACTCAACTTGCCTTCTTCCTCTGCCAGGACAAGAGAAGGGTTTCTATAAGTCAAAGGTTTTTTTTTGTGTTTTGTTTTTTTTTTGTTTTTTTTTTTTGTTTTTGAGATGTCACTGAAAAGGTCCACGGGGAACCCAGAGAACAGTGGACCACAAAGTAGCTTGACTGGGTCAAGTCCCACTGTGTCCCCTGCATTCCCTGCCAATATCTTCTCAGGTGTCACCAGCTCCAAAAGCCTGCAGTGGAAATGAGTAGGGACAGATAGGCCCTTTGCTCCCTCCCAGAAGAACCCTGGTCTTGCTTTGGTGGCTTTGTCATCAACTCTCTCAGTGGAGTATAAGAAACTGGGAAAGTTGAAGTCAGAGCCAAGGATAATTGTGGGATTGAGGTTCATCCCACAACTCAGCCTAGCCTGTGGTCTTCTACTCATCTACCCCTTGCTGAAAGCTGAGCTCCAAGGGGACAGGACAGTGTAGGTCTCATCACTGCTGAGTGGGTTTTTTATGAGCTTCAATAGTAAATTTTGGGAATTAAGGATTTAAGGGAAATTCAAAATTAGGTTTAGGATCCAAAATGTCCTGGATAAAAGATTGACTTTGAATCTGAAGATTGATTGCATGGTAACTGAGTTAGGGCTAACACACTAACTGAAATGATCTGTGTATTGCCCCACCCTCTAGAAAAACTAGTAATGAATAAATGTTTGGATAGTGACCTGGGTTTTTCTCATTTGTTATACCCCTTAATTCTAATGTTTCAGAGCTTGCAACTTAGTTGCATCCAGACTTCATGATGCAGAGGTTACTTCAATGTGTGTGTGAGACATTTTTTAAGGCCCACTCAAGAGGGAGTTCCTTGAAGAAAGCAGGCCCCTGGGATGGGAAGACAGTCCTTTCACAGCTCCAAATCCTTGGGGTGGGTGCTGTGGACCAGCTACAGCTTTCAGGGTCGAGGTAGGGCAGGACAGATACACAAAGGTTACTATCAGACAACCTGACAAGTCCTGGTCTAGGTAGACCAGAACTTAAGAGTCACATGGAGGGGCCATTCCACACTTCCCACATCACTTGGAACCTGAGTCTGGAAAAGAGGACTGAAAGCCATCAATCTACCCACTCACTAACTGCTCTCAGAGCCCTCTGCTAGGCTCCAGGAGGGGACCTTGAAGGCCTTGTGGACAGACACTCAAGTGTAAGACTCTTGGTCAAGTATGAATGACACAGGATGTGACTCAGAAGCAGGGCTGTTCAGGTCAGCTCAACACTCAGGCAGGAGAGAAACTACTGTTTAGGGGTGGTAAGTATCCAATGGGGGAAAGAATGTCAGTGCTGCTTGAAATGGTGTTCAGAGAAAGCTACCTGTCGGGGGAGATAATGGAAGTTAGGAGGGAATCAAGTTACCAGAGCATTCAGGCAGAAGGAAGCAAATCCACAGGCCCTCAGATGGGGATGGGTGAACAGAGTTAAGATAACCTGAGGCTGGATGGAGATTGATGGGGTGATTGGTAGAACAAATCTGACATAATAAAGATACAATTATTCAAAGTAGAACAGGTAATTTTATCTGATAATTAAGATGATCCAATGTCTGCATTTGGCTGATTATTCTAGCCAACATTCACTGAGCATTTAGATTGGAGAAAACTGATTCATCCCATCTAATCTTTCTAGCACCCCCAGGTACTATAGTATCTCTAGTTTATTGATGCAGAAACAATTAGACGCCTTATCCAAGAGCTGTAAATAGTTCCAACCCCAGCCTTGTATTGTGGTCTAGTTACTGCTCACTTTATTCAGTCTGGGACCTCAGCTCAAGGGTGATGCCACCCACATTCAGGTGAGGCTTTTCCCTTCAGCTAAAACTTTCTTGGAACTAGAATAGCTAGAGAGATGGTTCAGCGGTCCTGAGTTCAGTTCCCAGCAAACCACAGTGGGATCTGATGCCCTCTTCTGGTGTGCAGGCAAACATACAGCATTCGTATGTGTATGTATGTATGTGTGTGTGTATATCTATATAAAACTGGAAATAGACACACCCAGAGATTTACATACATGGTGATTATAAATTTAAACAACAAGGAAGGTTAACACATCCAGAGAGAAGCTTCATGCCTGTGGGATGGGCCCTTTGTTCTTAAGATTGTGTTTGTGTGTGTAGTGCCACAGCACTTACATGGGGACAGAGGACAACTTTTCAGAAGTCCATTTTCTTCCACAGCACAGCAATAAGTGAGTTTCTGTCCAATTCTATCTCCACTTTCTATCTCATTGTAGGAGTGCTACAATTACAGACATGAGCCACTTAAGCTGGCTTTTTTTTAAGTACTGAACTCTTTTTTTTTTTAAGATTTATTTATTTATTAAGCATACAATGTACTGCTGGTAAGGAAGACACCAGGTCTCATTACAGATGGTTGTGAGCCACCATGTGGTTGCTGGGAATTGAACTCGGGACCTCTGGAAGAGCAGTCAGTGCTCTTACCCTCTGAGCTATCTCTCCAGCCCTTAAGCTGGCTTTTAAGGTTGGCTTTTGGGATTCAGTTGAGGTCATGTGTCTTGTGCAGCAAGTGCCATGTCACCAGCCCTGTTTCATTTCTTTTCCCTTTCTCTGCACTTGGTCCAATGGCATGACTGACTTTCCAGGCTGGAAATGCTGTGGACAAATGTCTATTCACCCCAGATAGAGCATGTATAACAGACCGGGGAGCCAATGAATTTATTGGGTTTTTTTTCCAGAAGCATGGATGAAGAGGGTACCAGCACTCACCTTTCCTTCCTGATTGTGGGCACCATGTAACCAGTGACATCACACTACCACCATACCTTTCTGGCCTTCATAGACTATATCCTCTTGAGCTGTATTCCAAAGCAAACCCCTCCCTCCATAAACTGCTATTTTGGTCTTATTAACAAGAAAAGTTATTATTGGTGGTTTGAATGGGAAATGTCCCCTGTAGGCACATGTAACTAAATACTTTGTTTCCCAGCTGGTTGCACTCTTTGGGGAGGTTATGAAATCTTTAGGACGGAGCCTTGCTGGAGGCAGTTACTTCACTGGGGACAGGATTCTAAGGTTTATTCCCTCATCCCACTTCAGTTCTTGCTTTCTGTTTCAGTAAAAATGACAAAAGCCAGCAACCCTGCTCTGGCCACTTGCTGCCATGCCTTCTCACCATTATGGACTCCTGTGGAACATAAGCCAAAATAAACTCTTAGACATTGGTATGGTCATGGAGTTTTGTCGCAGCAACAGAAAAAATTTGTCGCAGCAACAGAAAAATAAGAAAGGCAGTAACTTAAGAACTATACTTGTGTGACCAAGCTGCAGTCAGAATAGGATTGGACCATAAGACCTGAGTACACACAGCCTCCAAATGCCCCTGCAATGGGCTGGATTGTATACCCCCAAGTCAAAAGGCCTGAACATGGCCTCACTTGGGAAAGATCTTTGCCAGTGGTACGATGAAGTCCTGAGGATGGTCGCTAGTCTTGTATTATGATGTCTTCACAGAAAGAGAAGAAACAGATTTTGTCAGTTGATGACACAGACAGAGATAGGAGGGATGCCTCTAGACATGGAAGGATACTTCTAGACATGGAGGGATGCTCAAGCCAGCCTGGTCTACAGAGCAAGTTCCAGGACTACTGGGAAACCCTGTCTCAAACCTCCCCCCCACACACACACACAAAAGAATCATAATGTAACAATTTTTGGAAACAGAGGTTTGCCACAGGGGATGCACCCACAGGTTGACAAACCAAGAGAGATGTCACGAGTGAAGGAATGAGGGCACTCTATTTGGTTCTCAGAAGAATTCTCTCAAAAAGCTTACAGGAGACATTTTAGCAAAGAAAAATTAGAAAATAAATTAGAAAGTGAAAGAAGAAATGTAGTTATTCTAGTAATTTCTATAACTTGGTAGGGAATGACCTTTTGGGAAAGTTTCAGTTTTTTATTTATTTATTTATTTATTTATGTATGTATGTATGTATGTATGTATGCCATGTTCTGCCTGCATGTGTGCCTGCAGGCCAGAAGAGGGCACCAGATCTCACTACAGATGGCTGTGAGTCACCATGTGGTTGCTGGGAATTGAACTCAGAACCTCTGGAAGAGCAACCAGTGCTCTTAACCTCTGAGCCACCTCTCCAGCCCAAGTTTCAGATTTTTAAGGAGCTTAAAGTTTATATAATTTATAACATAAAATTATGGAGTCAGTGCAGGGTCTTCAAGGATCCCTGAGTGAAAATCACTTTTGTGTGAAAATACTTAAAGCCTAAAGGCAAATGGGTCAATATGTCTGATTCAAAACACATAGAAATTAATGGCACACTAAGAAAAGGATCTGTCATATACACTTCAGGAGTTGACCACATACGCTCTTCAAATAGGCAGAAAA